CCACTGTGTTGTAAGACCAGAGTTTATGTACTATCTTCAGCATCCAGAGAGTGCAAAGCATATGAGTTTTTCTTTTCTTGTCTAAACCATTTTGAATGAGGTCTCTTTTACATGCTAGTTTGGCAAGCTTCTAAGGCATCTGTGCAAAGTGATGATTCAAGAGCGACCTGATTCAACACCAAGAAATTCAGAAATACCATCCAGCAGTAATTAAAGTGAAAAACTACAGCAAAGAAAAGCAATTGCTCTACAGTATCAGTTGAGCTACTATACTCTGCAGTGATACGAGTGGAATGTGTTTACTGATGCATTCAGCTCGGGAGGTATCACTCTGAATTTTAAATATACCAAGGATTCATTCTGGTTTGTACATAGATTGAATTGGATCAAAGTGATGAAAAAAATTAGACATTAATATATATGTAAAGAAGGGGTAGGAATGGAAGAAAAACACAGTGCCATAAATTACCATCTGGAAACATACTATACATGTAGTCAGTATGTATTTATGTATTAAAATCAAGAGTTCATTTTGAAGTCCAAAATGTTTTTAAGATAATTTCATGCGCTCTGTAAGATCATTCTCAGGAGGCAAGTGCATGATACTCAAGATGGCAATATTGATAGAGGACTTCAGTTTGAAGAACAGGAACAGCTAGTTGATGGTTTTGCCATCTTAATGAAAAAGTCTGCACTATTTTCCATAAGTACACACTAAAGTCACAAAAAAACTTCCTATGAATTCTTTGACTGGATTTCTTCTTAGATTAGGATTAAATGGCATGTAACATTCAGCTTAGTTGTTTAGTTGTTATGTATGCAAAACTCAACAAATCATTAAATTTAGGCAGCTAGTAGTATAGCAAATAATGGGTAGGTCTTAGAAGTAGCATTCTGATGCTTCTTCTTGTTTCTCATGCTCTCCTCTGAACCACCTGCAGAGAATGGATTTACTGGAGGGAACACTGGGCCCTGTATTGTGTAAAACTTTGTACAACAGAGCCCCAAATTCAGTTCAAAGATGGAAATTTTTTTTAGAAAAAAATAAGAAAAAACATCTGACAAAAACAAATCTTCCTGTCAGGGTACAGCTATGACCATTGTGCTGTGGCACACAATGCATATTTTTCTGGTCATCAAGAGAATGCGAGAGTAGGTGTGGGTACTAGTTCATGCTTCAGGCAGAAAAAGGTGGTATCTGGCCCAAAGCAGCTTGAGAATTAGTATTCTAGATCTGTAAATTAGCTACTGCATGTGTTGTTCTTGGACTTCACCCTGTGTGCAAAGAAACTTCTGCAGTTATGCTCTTGAGATCAACCAGGTGTTGGGGAAATTCAGATTTTATTAATTTTTATACCTTGTCAGGGAAGAATTTGACTATCTTTTGGATTAGCTGATAATGAAGACAGGAGTAACTTTAGAAATTCAGTTGTAGAACTAGGTTTAGATAAAAATGCTCAGGTTTAGGTGTGCTTGTGGTTGAGACCAAAGTCTTGCGTTCCATTTTTGTCTTTTTGTGACTCTAGTTTTAGGTACTCATCTGTAAACATCAGAATATGTAATCTTACTTAGGAAGTTTGCCTCAATAGCAGATACAAGATCTTTAGCAGGACTTCATGTGAGGAACAGTTAAACAAAAACTTGTAGGAATAAGGCACTAGTAAATGTTTGCAGCAAACAACAATTACAGTCTATATTCTTTAAGAATAAAGCCGTTCTGTTTAGGAAATTGCCTTTAATATGACAGAGTTACCAATGCCAGTTAGAAGGGGTTTAGAGAAAGTGCATCTTTTGGATTTATACCTGTGAGGTCTGTGAGAAAGCACTGAATGCAAATCCCTGCTAAGTTTGGAAATTGCCTGTGCGGTGGTGATACTCAGAAGAACTAAATCAAGAGGAAGCTGGTCTAGATTCTGATCCCTGCTAAACCAGCGTGAAATCACTGTAATGTATTTGCTTCAGTCTTATTTACATTGGTAGAAGGAGCTGAAGCCAGAATCAAGGTTTTTAACCCAAAACAAATAATTGGGTATAATCCCCATAATCAGCTTCAAAAAAGAATCTGGTATTCTAAGATAATTTCCTACGTGCCGAAGTCCAAGGATGCACTTTGTCTTTTGGCTAGTGTAACAGACCAAAGCCTTCTGTACTACTTTGGAGCTGCTGCCATTCTAAACAGTTACTAAAATATTAATCCCTACTTGATACCAAATGAATCTTGAGTCTGCCAGTCCATCTGAAGGATGGCTGACCTCTATTTTGACTTAAAAGTTGTTCAAAAAACCTCAAACTCTTCCGTTCATAAAAACAGAACATACTGTTACTTTTAAAATGTACTTTTATGTATGAGCACTTTTTTTGGGGGGGGGGATGGGGGGGAATGGGGGTGGGCAGGGGAGTTATTGAAGCACCAGAATTTGTTCATTAAAACAGTAAGAATGCATTTGTAAACTAATGGATCTGGTTAATATTCATTATTGTATTTCCCTAGGACCTGTCTAGTAAAAATACTGCATCTGAATAATTGATTTAGTTTACTAAATGGAAGGTCAGTGGTTAACCCCACAGTCTGATTTAATCACTAAATCCTGGTTTGTAAACAGACAGCTTAGCTTTATCATCTGACAAATTTATGTTCCACTCGTATCCCCTAGTATTTGTACAATATCTACACCCCCCCCATACATTTCTAGTATCCATAATGCAAAAGTGAAAAAAATTACATTAATTAATTCCTGTATATTATTGCCATCAGGTGCTACAATTAGCAACTCTGGACACTGGGGTTTTTTTGTTAGCTTGGATTTTTTTGTATCTTATGTAAGGACTCTTTATTAAGTTTATCTCAAGCTTTAAGATCACCCATCCATGGGGACCTCAGAAGCTTTACAAATATCTCAACCAGCTTTTAAGAGTGTGGTGGGTTTTTTGTTTGTTTGTTTTTTTGTTTGTTTGTTTGACTAAATTCATTGGTGATATAAATCGGCTGAAATTTTCACCAGAAATTAATCTGGACTAATTTTTTTATTTCTTCAGCAAAACATAAAAACCCCAGCAAGTAAATTCAGTGTTTGGAATCTCTCTCCCATACTTACTACACATATTTTGAAGTTATATACAGAAGGAAGAAAATACAGAAATTTCTCTTCACAAAGATCTTGCCATTCACAGCAACTCAGGAAACTTTTCTTCTTAGATATTTGTTTCTTATATGAATGCCATAATATATGCTTTTCTATTGGTGTGGGAGGAGGCTAATATATGGCATTTTGAAATCAGAATATTAGAAAATCTTATTAAGCATCAGAGCTGTGCAAGATCTTTTCTGTAAAAGTTGACAACTGTAAATTTTATGTCATTATTTTCAGTAAGATCATGTAAATCTTGGCAATTGCAAAAGAAACAAACATTCTTTGTCAAAAGTATGCCTTTTGCAGTCATAACTAGATTTGTGGTGTGTCTCTCACTGGCAATTTGAAGTTGTGCATACATTACCTTATAAGAATTTCTTAAGCTGTGCTTACTTTAAAATAACTTTTTTTAAACGTTGTAAACAAAACCTGTATTTTGAAAGTCAAGGTGGGTTTTTAACTTGTTCTTAAGATTAAAACAGTACATTGGGTCATGGTTGGTCTTCCTTTTCCTTTTGCCCACTGCTTTGAAAGTGTGCCTTCTGTAACATACAGCCAGGTGAGAAAAGTGCATTTTGAAAAAAGTTTTGTCAATATTTAACAAAATGCAGAGTGTAGTTTGCTTTCATGGCCATATTTCTTCAACAGGAGCAGAGGGATACTAATGATACATTTTTATTATGAAACTTAGCTGTTACAGCTCTCATTGGAGAAAAATCTGCTGGCATTTGTATGTAGTTTTTATACAGAGCAAACTCACACTTTTACAACAGTTGCTTCTTGGTGCAACTGAGATGTGTTTGTAGAGGCACTCTATTAACAGCAACTGAAACTGTAGCCTAAACAAAGGCATCACATTTCTGTTTGTGCTGATGTAGCTACCTATATGGATGACATTTTAACAAAAAATGCCATTTTTCAATTAAATTTTTTTTAAAGTAAATGTTAGGAAAGAATAAACTTCCAGGTGTAACAGCAAATAAAATGACTATATGATAATTCAACAATTATAGTTGATCTTGCATACTTTTGACCTTCCTAAAAAAGCAGTATTTGGTTTTTATATATGCATTGTTTTGATAATAAGTTGTCATGTAACTACTTATTTGCACTTCATAAATATTTAACTTGGGGAAGAAATTTTCTTGCAATTACAAAAAAAATAAAATTCAGTTCTAGGTCTTTGCTGTTAATCCAGATATTTTCATTGTTAGATGAAACACAGTATAATTGGAAATAACTGTTATACGGAAAGGAATTCACATTACTTTGATAAAAAAATCCGTTTATCTGAGAGGCTTTAGGGATTATGACTAATTTGATGAGGCCAGTCCCTCAAAACTTTCTCACACTTTTAGGAGATGAACAAATTTACCAGTCATGTAACTCTTATGTATTTTAAGGCTAGTTAGAAGACATGGAAGAGGGATACCCAAACTAAATGCTTAAAACTCGGAACTATTTGCATGACTGGGTATTTATGTAAATGGAATGATTTATATGGGTGAAAGTTTGCATATTCCTTTATGTTTTCCCATACAGTAAACCTACCATCTATGTGTATGTCAATTATAACTGATCTTAGAATTCCATGTCATAAGCTGAATCTTGGTTTTAGTTCAAGGTTCAGTCTAGCCAGAATGGCAATTTAGGAAAGTTGAAGAACTGAAACAAAAATTGACACATGCTCTTGAATTCAAATGTGGAAGTTTAAAATTGACATGGAAGCAGAAGTGACATTCAGTGTCAGAAGTAACAAATTTGAGTGTCTTAAATAATTCAGTATAGAGAACATAGTTAGACTTTTTTTTTATAGAAGTGTGCTTTTTCCTAAAAACACCCCCCAAACCCAAACTTTTTTTTTTTGCTTTTTCTTTAAGTCTTTTGTCTGTAAATAAGAAAGAGGGCTACATCCCAACATGACTCTTCATCGCCATACTAAACAGTCAAGTAGTCTTCCTAATTCACATTGCTCATGGCAGTCTTATTTGATGTTGCTTTATTAGGTTTGTGATTAAAGCAGTTTGGGATTTTTGTTGGTTGTAAACTTTTGGCATAAGGTGAATGCCAGTCCCTTTCAAAAACAGCCTTGAGTTGCTTAATGATGCTTGTGCTGTTCCCCGCGTCTGCTTGGTTGATAACAAGGCCCGCTCCAGCATTCTGCGTAAAAGCATTTCCTACCCAATCAAAATTACCTACGAGTAAAGGCAGGAATATACAATGAGTTTCTAACATTTAAAAACAAAACAAAATAAAGCAGTCTCCCTAAAGGCAATCCAGCATGATACAGTATCATTTTCCCCAATGCCTATCTGGGCAGAGATTGAAATAAGTTTTCTATACTATTTAGAGGGAAAAAACTCCTTTACAAACCAGTGTGTAGTGGAGACCATATCTGGAAGCTAAATAGCTCTAGTTCTTTGTAAGTGAAAACAGGTCCTTTTATTTATTCAAAACAAACTCACTCTTCCTTTTGCATTTCCTTTGTATTTTTACTCCATTTACTTTCCTCATTGGCCTTCTCAGTGCCAAGTATGAATTTTTTTTTTGCTGTATAAACAATATAAAGTAGAAGGGTTGGAGAGTGGTTGCTCCATAATGCTGAACTAAACCAATAGATCTTTTTACAGGTTACCCCATTGACAGATACTATTTCTGGAAGGAAAAACCAGGTTTTACTTTATTATGCCATATATTCCCACCTTTGTTGAAATCTAAGGTAATGAATAAGCATTTCAAACCCTGGTGATCACAAGGCAAAGAAGAGAATTTGATTAACGGAAAACAGATTAACCAAGTGTTTTAGTTATTTCTTTTTATTTCACTAGAACTAGAACTATTTAAGTTGTACATTTATAACATGCAGTATTTTGGAGAAAAAATGCTGTAACAAGAGGTCATCTTTTAAACTAATATCTGAACATATGTAAAACTTGAAAGTATCTGAGATGTGTATACCCTTACTTTCAGTGTCATTTCAGCTGCTTTGGGAAATGTTAAGAATTCTAAAGTTGTCAAGTATGGTAAATTGAAGCTTGATCATAAGGGACATTTCTTATGCCTTCAACTAAATGATATATCAGATATATCATATATATATATATATCAGATACTTAACATGCATTTGTATTACTTTCACACAGCCTTGATTATTTATTTATTTTGTTTATATTTATCTAAGAATGTAAAGAGAATGGGAAAGAAGAAGACCAGCTTGGCTAAGAAACCATTCTGTGTAGACAAGCTGCAGGTTGCTGCAATTTGATCTGGCTTTTGGAAATAAATAATTTTGGGATTGACCATAGCTTTAGTAATAACATGAGAAAAGAACATTCCATCTTCATTGGATTGCAGAAACAAGAGAATATGTTAATAATTCAATTTATTCCTACTTCATAAAGTGTGTTGTATTGTGTTTTCAGCCTGTTTATAAATCCCAAAAGCAGAATGTTGCTTTTGAGAAACTGATTCATAAGGAAAAAAAGTGTTTTTAAATGACAAGAGGCTCAAAGCTCAGTCTTACCCAGGTTCCCAAAGAAATGAGACTGTTATTTTAAATTAACAAGCATATCAGCTGTAGAGTCCTTATTTACAAATTGCAGGCTTTTGGCTACAAATTAGAACTCCTTGAGATGTAGTTACTTACCAATGTATGCAGCTCCATCAGTCACCATGTATTTATTACGATTTAATTTGGGAAGGGAGGTGTTCTTCTGTTCTTTGAGAAAGCATGCACTCTCTTCCTCAAGGTCAAAGAATTTCTGGCATAAAATAGAATGGAGTGCTGGTTAATGAGAACTGTCCTATAACAGATAGAAAAAATACAGTCTGTTGTTGGGTCTTTATTGAAAATGAATTAGTGCTATAGAACAACTTGAGTTTTTACAGCCAAGCATTAATTTAAAGAAAGGACTGCACATCATATTTCTTATTAAATTCTCATAGTTTGTGATGCTGTCACTGTGTCTTGGCATTCTGAACTGCATAGCTACCACATACTAAAAGCAATACACTGCCAGGTAGTGCAGGCTATGAAATGAAAAACAAAACCACCAGTCCCATCATTGTGTTCTGCATGGTAAAAGCCAGGAACATTTTTTAGCTCGTTTCCTCATTCCTCAAGGGACACTGGCGTTTGAAGTCTGCTTCAGGGTCCAGATTGGCAGGCACACCAATGGCTGAATTAATACCTTTATATTACATGTTGTGTAGCTTCCAACAGGAAACCTGCTGATATCAGAATATTAGAAACTTCTCAGGATTAAAACCGATACGGAGAAATCAAATTCACCACACAACAGGAGGAAAAGAGCATCTGTTTTCCAGCAAAGGGTGAAGTCTGAGTTAATTTTTTTATTTTTTTATTTTTTTAACATTTTGGAGCTATAGGCACTTTTTGCCTGCATCAGTGCCAGACACAAATGAAATTTCCAGTACAAATCTAATTATTCGTTCTTTCATAAATGAAACTAATAGCTAGACACAGGTTCCAAACCCAGGTTTTATACCACTGGTTGCTTCAGAAATGCATGTAAGTACTCATTTGAAAAATGTCACTTATTAATCATCAGTCTTGGTCATTACATTTTGCTTCTCCTTGGAGAACTCGCCTCTTAAGTTCTAGTGAGGCTTATCTGTAACTAGTATTACCAAGCTTAACTAAAATGGTTTAGCTGCAGGCAAAAGGTAGAGTAGCCCAGAGGCTGCTGGTTATCCAACATTTTATGCTGTGGACTCTGTCAAAATCTTTCTCTTCCCCACTGGAAAATATATTGGAGTAAATGTTATATTGTTCCAGTTGCTTGGAAGAACTCTTGTGTAAAATACCAAGGCTAGTTAGTCTCATGCTGATTCCATTAGAAAGAAAATTCAAAGAATTTGTGTTTTTTCCAGCACCCAAACACTGGCTGGTACTGCAGTGCAGTTTCATGATCAATAACTGTCATAAAGTAGTTTCTTTGAACAGTCTCTGAATTTCTTACGTCTCCACATGCTTATTTTCCTGTACATAGCACTATTATATTCCACAGCTTAATTTTTGTAAGGAGTTAAAATACGAACAAAATTCCTAATACTGTTTTTTGAATTTGAAAACAAGCACATCACTTAAAATTACAGCATTGCACTTAAAAAAACCAACAACAAACACAAACAACAACAACAAAACTATCTTAGCAGCTGTAAGGGAAAGTTTACCAGATATTAAGAGTTAGTTCTTAGACAACATCAAGAGTGCAACTGTGTGCCTGAGTAAGTGCTCTACAAACATGCACCCAGCACAGAAAGTATGTACTTAGCAAGCCAGAGAGGGATCTGGATCTTTCTGAAAGGGTCCTGAATCGTTTTATAAAACCAGAATAAAATATTAATGTGATGCAACAAACCAGGAATGGAGACAGTTTGCAGCCATGGGGTGTCTGCCCATCAAAGGTACTCACAGTAAATCTTTGCAGGGATATGGAAGATACTGTGTGTCTAATACTAATACAGTAGGGAATAGTCTAAAACCAGAAAATGGGTAATGTATTCAGTGCTAGGCAACAAAATATAACAAACTGTCCTCTTCCCAGTGTTTTGAAATTTAGAAGTTACATACTGTGATGTAAAAATAGTCAGCTACAGCAATCATACAACCTTAGAGTTGTCAAATTGAGATAGATTCAGCAGATGTGCTGAATTGAAAAATCATACATTAGTTTTCTGTTTTATATTAACTTTGAAATAGAATTTCAGATTCATGGAGGAAAACACACAAAGGCTTCAAAAAGTAATGTGTTCTCCAGCCACAGTGGGGAAGCCATTAACTCCTTGACAATACAGATACCGGTAGGGAAATCCATCTGCCCTCACAAATACACAAATGTAGCTTAGACGAGCGAGTGAACCAGCACTGGCATTAACTAGCACAGGCTAACATTCTCCAACACACACACCTTCAGCAGAAGTACTGTGTTAATAATACATCACCTTCTACTGACACTGTATTAATCTTTTCCATTCCTACTCTAGATTTTAGAGCTTTAAAATTAAATGAGTGCTTAAAGCAAAGGTTTTATAGCTAATTCATAACACTTCATTTACTCACAGAGCATTTCTGGCTTTCTGAGAATTAATGAAAGGTTCAATTATTTTTCCTTCCTCTTACCTTAGCAGGAATACACCTCCACAACTCAGTAGATTTATGTGGAGGCTCAAGAACAATTTGTGCTGTAGATAAATAGGTCTGGTCCATGCCGGTCTTTCCCGGTCTCTAGTTCTCTAAAGACACTGTTCTAGTTCATATTTTCTGTGGGCCCTTCACAAATATGGACCTTCCTTTATTGAGCACTGTACCCAACCGAGATGGCCCCTTTTTACTGCTTCTTCAAGGGCATTCTTGTACATAAAACATATTTACAGGGTCAAGCACACAAAACTTAAAGAGTACTGGAATTAAGGTCCCAAGAGGCAAAATTGTGAGTTCCTCACCTTGACTTTACCCTTTATAATTCAAGCTTTAATTTCATGACCACATGTGGTTCACAGCGTAGGAAAGGTCCCTGACTGAGCAGCAGTTTGGTATGTCATTTACTCCTTGACATTTGACTGTGTGCTTACAGGACTTAGCTAGTCCTCAAAGTTTTTTGCTCATGATTTCTTCCCAATGATCATTTTTTCAGAGTGTTTCTATTGAGTTTGCACACTCAAAGCTGTTCCAGTTGAATCCAGTTATTATTCATGCTTCTGTGAACTGGACTCCCAATGAAATGCTGAGGAATGCCTGATTAAGAGACTAACAGTTTTCTAACTGCATTGATTATGTTAATTGCCTGATAATGTCACAGTTTTATGGCAAAAGAAGAAAACAACCGCCTAGATAGAGCACACTGTTAAAATTCAGCATTTGGCTCTAGGAAATCCTGCCTTGCAGTCCTTGCCCTCCTGACCTCAACAGCAGATTGAAAAATAACACACACAGCAGTTGGTGGCTGTTTTTAATCAGGACACTGCCAGGTGTAACAGGCTTGCAGTGCCCTGTTTCTAACAATGTACTTGCAGTTAGGCAATACTAAAACTTCCACTAACCTGGTCAGACACCAGGGGAAATTAGAAGGGGATTCCCAGCTAACAGGGGAATTGTATCTGCACAGCCCTTTCCAAGATGACCGTGTACCTCAGGCTACTGCCACTGGCAAAACAGTACCCTGCAGCTGCAGCAAGCATGGGCACTCCCTGGAAACTTCCTAGCCAAACTGGTCTTTCCTTGGGCATGAAAAAAAACCACACTGACAACAAAGCACATCACAGGCTTCAAAAGTGAAACTAGAAGAAACAGCTACTGGATATCCTGTGTAGTACTCAGACATATTATCCCTCGCCGAAGATGGGGATGCCATTTCTGTCAGAACAATTTTGAGGTACTGGGACAGCTTAGCAATTTAAAGTATAATTTAAATCAGAGTTTCTAATTAAAGGTTCTCTTAAAATATCAATGTTCTTGTGTATAAACACCTAGAATACATGTCTACGTAACAGTATTTTCTGTAGAGTTTAGTTTGACTTTATGTTTTCTCATACCCAAAGCAGAACCAAAGGGGAAAAGTAGATCTTTCCAATAATTCAGAAGTTTAGCTTTTACTTTCTTAGCTATTCCTTCTCCCCCTGTCAAGGTTGTGGTGTTTTGTGATTATTTTATTTTTTTTAAATCCTGGTTAGAACAGATGAGTACAAAGGAAATGCAGTTACAAAAGAAAAGGACTCATCTGACATGTTTTCTGAAGTGTGGTGATGAAGCCTCCAGCTCAGTTTCAGCCAAAATCAAACATGTACCAGTGAACTCTGAGCCTTGGGCTGTTAATCGTACCAAGGCTTATCTAAGGCAGTGACTTGGCCTGTATGTTGAATCTGATGCAGAGCACACAGTTAACTGAGGTGTGTGGCTCTTTTACAACTGTTTAAATCTAGTCTGGTCTAATTTACTTAGTGGAAATTGCATTTTTAACTGCCAATATTCTAGCCAGACTATCTACCTAGAAGAGATGCCTAGAATTTTTTTTTCCTTCCTTTTAGCATTTAGTTGTTCACAAAACAAATTCTGTATCAAATATTTTGTCTGCTGTAAATAAATGGAAATGGATATGAGTACGCAGACTGTTAGGAGGCACTTAAATAAAACATTTTGAAAACAGAAATAGAATATTGATGATAAATAAGGAATAAGCTAGGAGTTACTTGAAACTGAAGTCGCTTTAGCCTTGTCAGCCATGCCAAGGCTTTTTGACTTAAAAACATGCTTTATGCTGCTTCTTACTGCGGAAACTTGTAATAACAATGTACAACAAAAATTCCTATTTCTTGACATGCAGAGATACCACTTAGTGTATATAACACAATGAGTATTTGTTTTTTACAATTGCCAGTGATTTAAAAAAGCCAAAATGATAAACTGGATTTTCAATTTAAGAAGTCAGAATAATTTAATAGATCATTTAAGATAATTATATAGTAAAAAACATAATAAATTGATCCAAGATTAAATGATCCAAGATGTCTGATGCTTCAATTTTATAAATACTGTAGCAATTTGAAAGTAGTACTTACCATACACTCTTGTTCTTTAATACAAAAGTAAGATACATGGTATCTCTCACCTTCCTGTATTGGATGTCTAATGTGGTCACAGAATGGTCATTCTATTCTTCACAATTATGAATTTGTAGCCTGAATATAATGTCAGCTCTTCATTATTTTTTTCTTATACTTCGTAGTTGATTAAAGGAAAAGTAGATGCTTATGCAGCTGAACAGTCAGGTTTCATGAATCTAGACTAAAGCACATTTTTGTGCTGTCAGATTTACTATTATCAGCCAGTCTAAACATGACATACAGCTACGGTTCACTGTTAGCTTTGCTGTGAAGACCCGATGCAGTGTTTTACCTGGGTTGTCCACCATACAGACTGCCTTTTGGCATAATTCTATTTTTCTGTCTTTGTTAGTACTAGGAATAAATTCAGGTCATTATCTTACACTTCATATGCTACTTAATGAAATTTAAAGGCTGTGATACTAACAGAAAACACTTCAGTTGAGAAGATTTTATGTTTTTTTGAGGGGAGAGGGAAATATCTTAGATTTCAAAGCAATACGGATTATACTTACAACTTTCAAACTACAGGTTGGAACTTCAGTGCAAATAGCTTTCAGAGATGAGACAAAGTTAAAAGTAAGGGGATCTGTATCTCTTGAGAAACTTATGAGAAGTCGTACTTTAATACTTCGTAAAACTAATGCTTCTCTTATCTTCCCATCTAAATATGGCCAGTACCTGTTGAAAAAGAATACAATACATTCAGAGAATTAAAAAACAAAATTGGGGATTTTTATGCAGCCAAATCTAGACATCATAGAGAAAACAAATCACATGTGAATTTCATTTTCTTTCCACTGAAGGGATGCTATTCTCATTTAAAGGCATTTTCACTAAACAGATTTTCCAGAATCTTGTTTTTTTTGGTCATTCTGCCCTGTACCAAAACTGTCACTGTGAGGACAGTGAGATTGGGGATGGTTGAGCACCCTTTCCATCTATATAGTTGCACGGAGAACTGCCAAAACACAAAACACAGGTACCTTGTGCACCCCTCGCTGGGAGAGTTAGTCCTGTGTTGCTGCCTGTGGTGGGAGCAGAGCAGCTCTTGCGGTGCCACAGAATCAGCAGAAGGAGCTGTAGCTAGAGGGTGCTGCTTACCCAGCCCAGACTGAGGGATGAGGATTTCTGTTGGTCACGTAAGTAAGGGCACACGAACACTGGATCCCCTCCCTGACTGCTGCCCTTTTCCCCCTCGTACTGGGACCATACAGACTGGGTACTGAAATGCCTTCTTCTATTTATTGCTCCGGAAAAGGAAGAGCTACTGCTGTGCGGGGTTGCCTGCATCCTTCAGTAACAGGTGAAGACGGGTCATTTCAGGAGGATGCTTTTTTCCCCGATAAGAACCGCAGAAATTTTGCTGTGAATGGGATGGTGGCTTCCATGGTGCTGTTTTCACCGTCACTAGTTAGCTTTGTGTTCCTAACCTTTGGTGGGAGCAGGTCAGGACACAGAGAATTAGACAAAGAAAATGCATGGCTTTATTCCAGCGGCATCAAGGCATTTGGCCTTTCGATGTCTAAGCTCTACAGTGCAAGAAAATAACTTAGAAGTGAGAACTGGTAGCAGACAAGGTAGGGAAGCTGTGGCAGTGCCTCTAACACAAAGCCATGCTGTAGGAAAAACACTGAAGAACTCACACAGATGGCTTCCCTGAATCTCCCTAATCCAACAAATTTCTGAATTCTGCAGGCAGGAGTATGGGAGATAACATCAACTGCAACACTGTAACAGTTCTACATACTAAGTTCTGTTCCAGCTTAAAAAGGAAACTTGAGGGGATGCGTGTTGTGAAACAGGTTCCTGCAGCACTACCTGTGATTCTTTCACTGTGATAGAGGCTGTACACAATGAGTTTATCAGCAAAACTCTCAAAGATTTAAAACAGCTTATGCTTGATATCTGTCGAAAGGTAGTTATTAAAAAAAAATAAAATTAAACAAAACACCTTTAATTATGCAAAACTGGAAAAAATCACCTGTTCAGTTTGGCCTAAGTCTGCTCAAATAAAGTGCATGGTGAGCTTTGCTAGATGCTCAATTCATTGTGAGTATTATCAAGAGAGGAGGGTCCACTTGATACTTGCCTTCTGAATTGGAGGTTTTATCACTCTGTGGCTCCAGTTTTGAGTTATAAGTGCTTTTTTATGGTCCATACAAACTGTGTTTAAAAATTACTTAGTTTTGTTTGGTTTTAGGAAGTCTCAGTTAAGCAAAATGTGATATAATTCAAATGTAATCTGTGCTGAATTTGGAATTTTCATGTATATGTATATTTCAGTAAAATAATGACATCTTCCACTTTGTATATGAGAACTCACAACATGTTATTTCTCTTGTAATGCAAACACACAAACGTTGTCTCTCATGTTGAACATCCTTATGATACTCATCAAATGCCAGTAGCTGGCATTCGTGGTAATAAATGCAATATTGTAAGAAGTAGGATTAATATACAAGAAGCTTATTGCATTTCTGGGTCCCAGTCAATTGCAGATGGCCAGGCTAGACAATTTCTGATCTCTTTCAATAGGCAGATCCAAACCTTAGGTCCCAGAATGGGAAATGTTATCTTAGGTCCCAATTCTGCTCCCATTTAAGTCAATGCCAGAACTTTCACTGATTTTAATAAGAGCAGAATTGGGCCCCAAGAAATTGGTCCACAGTAGTAACTACTCTCCTGTGGGTTAATTTTCTCCAACAGACTTTACTGGCACTACGATTTAACATACTAATCCTGGACATGGACACTCACCGTTTAGCATGGGTGTCAATGACGATGGGCAGGTAGTCCATGACAGCAATGTATACAAACTGTTTGGCATCATCGATAACACTGTATATAGCTTCAATATCCAGGACTCGGTCCTTTGGGCAGAAGAGTTTAGGTGAATTCTGTGAAGGGAGAAGTTCAAATACGACATTTAAAATGCATGGCTTATTTTCTCTTCCCCTCATCCTTCTCGAGGTGGCAAGTAGTATCATTTATTTTAGTAGGGAATATTAGCTGATACCTTCAACTGTCCTGCTAGAATGTTCAAAGGTACTAAGGAGAAGTATTTGCTTAGTTCTCCCTTGAGAGTCTCGCCATTTAGATAGATAGATTTAGATAGAGCTATGGGTAAAATGCAGAAGACGCAAACTTTAAAACATCCACTGCCACCAAAGAAGCTCAAGTTGAAGTTACATTTAAGATAATTTTGTTCCAAAGAATCTCAGGACTGGTAAATATTAGATGGAGTAATATCTGTGTTCTTACTACATAAGCGACCAGGAATTAAGTCTATCACATCAGTTCTGTTGAAAGTTTTACGCAAAGTCACCATTTGCTCAGTTACTGTCAAAGGAGATGCTGTAGTTTTGCAAGAAACTTATCTTTATAACCTTGCATCAGGTGTAAATTTTTACCTGCTACTGAATCAGTTAGTGGGAAGCCCAGATTTCAGCTTTTTTACCTTGTATCTAGGCTTGTGGAATGGGTCAGCAAGACCAAGCCAGCTGCAATCACCCATCTGTGGCAGAGAGGCCCAGGACTTTCTGCTCTTCCACCTGAGCAGGGAGATAGAAGGGGAGCCACCTGCCAAGTTGCTCACAGGCAACAACAACCTTTAGAGGTTGCTAAAGGCACTTGGTAGAGCTAGAGCAGGTACCAGTTGTCATTTTCTTAACAGACTGCTCTCTTCCTCCTGCTGTATCGTCTTCTCACCTTTGTTATATGCTTGGGTTGCACCTGACATCTAGATTATTATGTTTCTTTAGTAACAGATCCTGGCTTTTTTATTAGTCTTTTTCTTTCAGTGCAGTGCCTGTTGCAGCGGTTAATCACCAAATGGTGTTCTCTTGGATTTACTAAAAGCAAGTTCAGAAAATACTAGAAAATTAACAGCCAGATTTTGATACCAATATTCCAGATCCATTCCTGAACACTAAAAAAACCACCAAAACCAAAACCTCTTAGGTTTTATCAGCCGATCTGGAAGACAATTTTGTTGCTAAGCAACATTACAGCCATGATTCCTAAGAGTAACAAAAAATTCAGTGAATGTTATGCTTGTTGTTTTATGCAGCACAAACATCAGAAGTGAAATGCGTTTTCAAAGAATGAGTTTTGGCTCAAGAAAAAGTATAAAGGGATTTTTTAAAACATATTTTATACCTATTATTTGAAACTTTTGGGATGCTATTGCACTAGCATTTTATTCATACGGTATTACTATTTTCTTATAGAAGTTTTAAGTTACAGAAAAGCTAAAGAATGGAATTCTTACACATTGTCTTTTGCAGATGCGTCCAATACAAAGATGAAAAATTAAAGATATTTAGAAGAGAATTGGAAGAAAAACTGTCAAAGTTGGTCCTGCAACACTTGTATTTGGGCATGCCACTTGTTACCCTGTGGCATGGCTGACTATCTCTGTGGTCATAAAAAAACATCTTAGTACTTTTCTCTGCACTATTCTTATAATACTTGCTGTTCTGATCAAATACCCACTTAATATTTCTCCTCACCTACCAGAAAGAGGCCTGTGTTCTCACTGGGCAACAGTACCTTGCCATGTCCTGGCACAGGGGGCTGTGCTGTCCCAGGCCAAAAGGGAGGCAATGCAGGGCTGGGGGAGGGAATGGCCCAGCACTGGGCAAGAGCAGCACCACCACCCACCCACAGGGCAGCGATGGCAGTAAGTGAACTGCCTGGCTTGTGGAGACTCTCCTCTTGCCTCTAGGTCAGGAGCAGGCAGCAATGGTTCCATCAAAACAGTCCAGAGCAACTCTGGGACTGCCTTTCAGAGGGACATGCTGGCAAACATGGAGAATTTGCTAGTAGGGGAGAAATTCATTGAAAAGCCTGTTTTCAGGAAGGAAGAACCAGCTCAACTATCTGTGGCTACAAATTCAGGTTGCTCTTGGAATTAGACTTTGCTAATCTGAGTTTCTAGAGTATCAGTGATTCCTTCCTTTTGTCTTCCAAAGTGGAATTTCAAGCAAAAAGGCTTTTGTTGCCCACTCAAAATACAAATAAGAGGGAGGAATCTAGAGTTATGCAAATTGCAGAAACACAGTTTCTGTAGAGCCTCTCTGCACTCATCCTTGTCTAGGATCTCACGTTCCTTAAGGTTGACCTTGCCCAGATTTCTTTACTGTGTCCTCCTCCTGGACTGGCTTTCAACAGAATTTCTTCATTTCTTACAGATGACTTAGAAGGGAGTAGGACTTTATTCACAGCTCCTCAACTATTGAAAGTCAGTGTCTAATTTATGCTAGTCCTTAAGACTTCCCAGAATCAGTGGAAGCTTAAGTCTCTTTAAATGGCTATTAATTCTGGCTGACTTAGGCTCTTCCAGGTTTTCACTCCAAAAGAGCTCTCTCTCTCTCTCCAGTGACTGTAGGAGTGTGAAGAATTCTGGACACCTGAATGCTGTGTGTCTCCCAGCAGGTGAAGGTAAACCCTATCCCATACAACCACTCATCTGCACCAACATCCTGTGCTATTTCATTATATTCTTAGCAATTTCTAATTTCTCTTAGCAATTTCATTACATTCTTCATTTTGAAGGGGTTGTTTTTACTCATGTAATTACCTCCAAAATAAAAGACAATCCACATCTTTCATCATCTCTATTGCTCTGTGTACTTTTTTCCAGTTTTGCTACATCACTGCTGAGATGGGAGGACTGCTCCATTTCTTCCCATTAAAAATACACAGGGGATTGCTGCTTGAATTTTAGAGGTTTTAAAATGTCATTTAAAAATAAAGCTAAAGTTGGTAAGGTTCTACAGAAGTATGGATGCTTTCAGTGGATCAGGCTGAAGAGGATTAATCCTTATAAATTACACTCATAAGAAAGCAAGCTCTGATATCAAGCTTATTCTGTATAATTTTGGATGTCTGATAACACTGAGTTTACTCCTGAGTCGTTCACCTTCTATATACTAGTGTAAATAAATAACCTAATTTGAAGAGACTCCCTATCATTCGTTGTAATAGAAGAGGAAAAGCAGTAAGATCACAGAGAAAGGGAAGAAAAACATGCTTAAATGAAACTGCAGCATCTTCAGTCCTGGAAAAATGCATGTAGGAACAATGTCACAGATCAGAATGAAAAACAAATAAATTGCAGTTTGTCTCTTCTGCAGCACAGGAAGATGGAAATAACTTAAAAAACCCTTTCAATTACAGACTTCCCCACAAAAGTATACCCATTGACATAATCATTTTCCCAGAGAACACAGTGATTTAGTTTTTGATCACTATGAGACGATCAAGTTCTGTCTTGTGTAGGTGACAGCTGTAGTGGCCATATCTTTAGAACTGTGTTTCCAGTCACTCCCCTAAGTCTCGATGTTAGTAGCTGGTTTTGGTTAAGGACATAGAGGTAATGCGTATCTTCTTCAGTTAGGGTCAATTTAGAGAAATGCTTAAGTATGGGCTTAATTTATACCATCTGTGTTCCTGTTAATGGAAATTACTATCCATAGTATAGTAATTTCAAAGCATTCTGATTGACTTATTGCAGGGAGTATCTCTCTATCAGTGAAAAGACATCTGAGATTGTTTTCACAGTTGCTACTAACACCTGTCTAACCTGGTCTCACAATTCTGTAGTTCATAAAGGTCAATATTAGGGAATAAGAAGATGTTACACTTTCAGGTCTTAAAAAAAATCTGGTGGTTAAATAAATTTCTTCCCTTCCCTCCCTCCCTGCAACGCATTTCAGAACTTACCGACACAAAAGCTTCTGATTTTGTCTCATTCAGCTGCAGTGTCAGTTTATTTTGAGTATCGTACACGCCGTAGAGTCTCTTAGACCAACTTGGAGGTATTTTGTTTTTGTATCTTAATGAGCTATACAGGGCAAATATCCTTTGTAAATCCAGGACCAGGCAGCTACAGTTGTAAACGATGATGCCAAGTTCCTTCATCTGTGAAATTAAAAGTTCGTATCATTAGTGATATTTTGGCTGTTGGGTCTGTGGAAGTATGCAGCAGGCATGTGGGAGTGTCTGAGAGGTGGCTTCCAGAAGCATGTCTTGAGCTCAGCAGTAGTACTGTCAATTACAAGGACATTCCTAAGAACACTCCTCTGAAGGCAGCACATAAGCTAAATCTTCAAAGTGTATGTCAGAGCCACGTGTCCTGACAGACTACAAGACACCTTATGGATGGACACAACTTAGGAGTGATAGCTGTTTGTCATAGGCACCAGTTTTGTAATAGGTGTTGGCCAAGGTTTACTGCTCTTGGCTAAAACAGCTTTTACTTATTATTTTTGTATTGTTTCCATCATTTCTGCTGGATGATTTAGGAGCACATACTGCTACCGATGACAGTTTCTTCCTTCAGAAACAATTTGTTCTCTGTGAGTTCTGGAAGAGGTGAAAGAAGTGGACTTAAGTTGTTTATCTGCTGTAGAAGGAATATGATGCTCCAGCTTCAAATAAGGGATTAAAAAACAGGTGTTTAATACTAAATTTACTGTGTTATTTACAGCTAAATTTACTGTGCTATTAAATCCAGCTTGATCCAGGTTATTAATTCCCCCATTGCTATGGTATGATACCTCAACTATTGTACTCCAGATTTCTGGGTGCCAGTGTCTTCATGTGAAAAAACTGAGATAATTATACTCTTCTCTCAAAAAAAGTATTCTGTAAGCATCAACATTCTCATATATGAAGTATGAAGAAAAATAGCTCAAATAAATATAGACATTATAGTACAATTAAATGCCTTACCCTACTATGGACCCAGCTTCACTTCTCCATTTAAATAAAAGCATGCCTCCTAGTCATTATACATCTTGATTTGGCAGAGATTTCATTAATTGCACATCCCTAGCACTTAACTTACTGATGGAATTTAATTTATAAACATACTGCCTGGCTTCTGTAATCAAAGCATAGCTGGACACACTCTCTCTGCTTTATAATAGCTCAGGAAAGCACTTCTGTGGGCACAGATGCTGTTGACTTTTCATTACCTGCCTTTCACACTTGTTCAGCTGTCTCCAAAAAAAGGGAGAAGAAAACCTGCATGTATGCTTTGGAAAACAATATGTAGGATAAATGTTTAAAGGATTCATGCTGGTTTTCTTCAAAAAACTCTCTTGGTAGAGTCAGAAGTCCATCTGGCATAAGGAAGAAAATAAGGGGAGTACAAACCCTCCAGCATGCTCATCCTTTGACACCAAAAAATCCCCACTGGTTTTATTCCCTTACATGAGCTCTCCACAGCCACAGAGTAGTTTCTGGTAGGAGTTTATCTTTTGTAAAGCCTGTGAGATCTCTGAATCAATCCCACAGTAACGTTATTTCAGAGGTAGTTCCCGTGTAATTCCGCCTGACTGCAGATGAGAACAGCTGTGCAAGAATGGGGAGAGGAAGGGATGGATAGAATCAAGCCTTCAACTCTCTTACTATGGAGGGAGAGAGGAAACAACAAATCCCAATATTCCAATGAGAAAAAAACTCAAAGGGTGACACCTTCTTCACGTTCCCAAACTGGAAATAGCACATACATAAGAACATACAATACTGAGCAATCTCATTCCCAAATATTTACAGAATAGTTGCAAGCACAGGAGCATTACCTAGTATTCTTACTGTCTAAATCAGAATATTTCTGCAAGCTTTTTTGAATCAGAAGAAGTACAGAATTAGCCTGCACAGTAGCCTGCACAACCTGAAATTTGTGGATAGTTGGAAAATACAGATTGCCAGGTGCACTGCAGCCTTTCTTTAATGGATAATAAATTCATTTTGATTATAAATATATTCCAAGCTATGCCCAACAGCCTAGTCTAAGACTCTATTTGGATGAACATCTTTGGTTTTTCTCCTGGGTGCTGGTATCTTTGAGGACACCTGTATTCAGTTCTAGGCTGTCCTTGTACGTCATGTACTGTTTGTCTCCAAACATTTTTAAATATACATTATCACTGTTTTCACTGTGTGCTGCCAGTACTGTTCCCTTAATTGCCAGGCACGCCATTGCAAAGGACTTCTTAATAGTATTTTGTTACATGTATCTGCATATTGTGGTTTAAACTGCTTTTCATGGCTGTTAGTTGATTCTCATGTAATTACGTGGTTACAGCTTTCCTTTCATTTATCAGGCCAATTATTACTGTTCCACTTTATCCTTTCCCTTAAAAGTAAAGATAAAATAGTGGCCTCACAGCACACCAGAAGCTGCCAGGATTGCATCTGCATGAGCAGCTCTCCTCGGAGCGGGAGCGTTTGCAGTGTGTCCGCAACCTGTCTGTGAATTAACGGATTGCCCTTCTGCCAAAGCGCTTCTCACATACAGAGACTGGGAGGAAGCTGGGGGCACTAATGGGTTGGGATTTTTTAAAGTGCAATTTACAGGCAGCATTAGCCCTGCCTTACTGCCAGCCTCTCCCCATGAATGGATGCACGCTGGGACTGCCCCATTTTGCAGAGGAACTTCACCCTACTGCAGGAGTGGGCATCTGCTGGAGGTGAGGTGGTGCCCTGGCTGGGGCCCTGCCCCTGGCAGCTGTTACACTCAAACTGAGACTGGAGTAAAGCCTTTTCAAGAGATGTATTTACAGCACAGTAATGAATCCTGCCTTCCCACAGTGTTATGTCTTGCAGTTGGTTTCCCTGGAGGCAAGAACTGATCAAAGGTTTTCCTGCTTCTGAAGCCATTCTAAGAGCTCTGCCCCATGGGGATTCCCCGGTACACGATACAAACTTGAGCATCTCCTTTCCCTCTCTGGGAAAACCATTATCCTCTACCAAGCTGCCTGTTTTCATTAAACCTTTAAAAACTTCAGTTCAAATTCACCTGAAAAGTAGATTCAAAGTTACTGAAAGAGGTCAGACAGTGACTCTGATGCTTATTGTGCAGATCTCATTTTCTTAGGAAAGTAAGCTCAATGTCAGCCTGCAACCTCATGCCCATCGTGTTTTATGTATGATATATCACCTTGAAATGAAAATACAGACAGTGCACATGTTCATCATCCCAGTTGTCTTTCATGTCCAACCACCCCAGTAGGTTTGGAGACCAAAAAAATACTGTTTCAGAAATGTCTTCCACACCGAGCCTGTTTTTACTCCCGTACTCTGAGGTGAGGAGACTCTACTCTTTTTCAAATTAATCAGTAAGCCTATCATCCTGGAGGCATTGCAGAGAGTAGGCAGCAAGGATGTGCTAGTGACAGATTTAGTTCAAAGTGGTATGTCATCTAGATAAGGGAAAAGACTTTCTCTTCCATTTGAGAGCTGCTGTTACTACAGATGTCTCTTTTTTTTTAATTTATTTAAATAGTCTCAGAGAAGAAGCAGAAAAAAAGGATTTGTATTGGAAGAATCAAAACCTGAGTGTTGCTCTGTGATTTGCAGTGACTGAAACCTGCAACTAAGCATAATTTGAGGTATCTCTTAAGGTAAAGCCCTTCAGGGCAAGAGCACTTAAGGCAAGGGAAGGATTTCTTCATCCTGAGTTTTAAAAATAACACACAGTAATGAATACATCACTGAAAAATAAAAGTGAAGAAAATCAAAACCTTAATATAACTATGGAAAATAAATCTGAAATGAAAACAGTCACAAATTTGATTGCCTCAAAATGGAAATGAAACATTTGGATGCTGAAGTTGCACAGTTACCTGTGACATTTTCAGAACATGTGCTGTGAGTGGGGGACAGGAAGGGTTTTCTGAATAGAGAATTTTGTGTCCTCTCATGAGCAAGTTTCTTTCCATTTGTGTTAAGAGCCACCATGAATGCTCTTCTCAAAGATGGAAAAACATGGGAGCTGGTTTTCCTTGTTCCCCATGCCATTTACATTTGTGCAGAGCAACTATTAAAGGCTACCACATCACCATTTGTCTTTCTTGCCAATAGGGACTTTCTTAAAGCACGAGAGAAGTGAATGGCTAAACAAGACTCAAGAAATAGTGGCTTATACCCACTGTACAATGATGCTCTAACTACAGAAACCAGGTAAGCTACAAAAAGTAGCAAATACAGCCCAGCTAGAAAAATACTGATTTGTGTGACAAGAGGAGGAATTCCTTACTGGACTGGACAAAGAATAGGATTTCACAAGTAGAAATTTCTGCTTATTCTTTTCTCCTGTACATTGGTAGGCATCACATGCAAAATTAAAAACACACAGGAAAAGACAATACAAGTTGTGTACCTGTAACACTGAAAGCTTCATAAACTGAGAAACAGCATTAGCAAGCCTTTTCAAATACATTTGGATCATGGGTTAAACAGGGTGTATGATGTGTCCTTATCCTACACTGTACAGACTAGATAGTGCATTTTGTATTTACCTCGAGCTACGCTCCAAGAGACAGCCCTGCTGTGTAGGCAAGGTATTTGACCTACATAAGAGTGGCACAATCTGGTTCACAGCATGTAATATCTGAATTGTGGCAAATGTAGTAGGAGGCTTTAGAAAATTTCTTGTTAATTTCTTTTAAAGAAAAAATTTTTAGTAATTGCTTACACTTGAGCCTGATCCTGGAACAGACATCTCTCCTGAGGCTTTCACTGCCATTTGCCCAAAAACTCCAGCCACCAGCATGTGCTGGACATCCATTGCCTGTGCTAGGAAAACACTGGACTAACTACAGGTAGTCTATTGAGCACTAAATTTCCTAAGGAGATTTTTTATACAAAGCACTGCATGTGCATCTGCCATTTTCCTGTGTTTGAAAATGTATTTAATTACTCTTTCAAGCTTGCTCTTTTTTAAATGACCAATTTCCAAATAAATTACTGTGCAAAACCAGAATCTAAACAGGCTAGAGTAATGGAATAACAAAAAGCATGCTATGCTGAGAAATCAATTACCACAGCCTAAAAGGACCTAAATTTTTCAATAGCTTCTACAAAAAAAAATAAAATACACACTGTATTAAAGCCTTGGAGCTGACCACAGA